TGGCGCGTACTACTAGGTCCTCTAGCACCTGAGCGACCACGCGTTTACCAATCCTGTCGATCAAGCTTATCGCTGGGTTTCCCAAGGTTGAAACCGGATTAAGTCGGTAGCGAGCGTTGATGGTTTTATGTGACCTGCAGTAGCAAAAAGGTACAAAGAGCAAAACGCTCAACACAACTCACCGGAAATTGCGCCATATTCGAGCTCATATGTGATCTTGTAATAAAGGGCATGAATCAAGGGAACGGTGTTGAGAAGTCAAAATAGTGTTACTACTGTTCCCTCCTGAAACTTTATGCCTGCTAGTTGTTTCTCCCATCAGATATAACTTTTTTCAGTTTTCACTAAAGTATTCATTCTCATACTGGCCTTTGAACTTTGTTCGTGGAACGGCTGTCCACTGTATAGGTTCTCCGTTATAGGTACGTTTCGATCTTTGTTGAATGCTTGGTATACACCATTCTCACAGTTTGTTTGGTTTTTTTCTTAAATTCCGACAGCAATTGATTTCATGCCCGTTGATTTCACTCCTTTCCACACATTTTTCTATCATGCTGTAGATCTATTTTCGTCTAGAAACGCAATGATGTTTTGAGAGTTATTTTACGAAATTTCCTCTTAATCTTTTTGTTGTGTTTTGTGTTTTTTTTAAATATTTATGTTACTTTGAACATTCAAGTTTTTACTCATACAGATTGATAGTGGTGCCTGTTCACATTTATTGGTTTGTACGTTTAACACTCAGTTTGCCTTCTTGATGTTAATTTGTGACACTACACCATTTATTTACTGCTTTTCTGTTTAACTTTGCACACAGTTTTCCCACTTGCTGATCACCGATTCACGTCCATCCAATCACGTTTTAGCTACTGTCCAAATCCACGTTCGGTTTGGTTCTTCGCGCGAACGCCTTGGCCTCAACGGAACTACCCGCCTCACTGGGTTGGAATGTTCAGCTAGTGCTCTGTTTAGCCACCGGCGCAATACCTGTGCTTCTTGGACCTGGTCCTTTACCTTTCGGAGAAGCTATCCCATCCGAACTGTGGTCTCGTGCCATACTTCGTCTACCGATTGCACGCGTTTCCCAATTGACAGGGATCCTGCAATCCATTCCAGAGCATCATCGTGTTGAGATGCGCAGACAGGTACGGGGCGTTTGCTTCAACGCTGGTGTTTGCTCTAACTCAGTACCACGCCTTCCAGCGCTGATTTCAATAAACATAAAACTATTGTTGTACCTTGTGTTTGACTTTTAACTCTTGTAGCTCCATTCACTGCATTCCAGTTCCGAACCTTAAAGGTTCGATAATATGACTTCCGTTAAGGATACCGGTTTACGATTTCCATGCTACTATCTCAGTAGGACGTGCACCAGCACGCGGTTGAAATATATTGCGTTCCACGGTAATTCATTATGACTCACCTTTTTGTCTTATTTAGATCATTTTTAATCAACATACTAGCTCAATCAAATGCGCGTGTAGTTGATTCTAAGTACCACACGTCAGAGCGGGGCTGTAGCTAACGGTGACGGAAGAGGAAAACAGAAGCCAGAATAAATACAACTGTTTTTGGTGCACTTCGGTTTCGCTGAGCCCCATTTGGACAGCTCATTGGGGTCGCAAAGAGACAAAGCCGTGGGGAACATGAAAACTCTATAAATTTTCACATGTCACTCACTCACACACTACACTTTAAAATCCTGAGAGTCCATGGTGCGGTCAGGATGTTGAGTCCGTTGAGCCCTGCTTCCCCTATTGTTCTCGGTAAAATATGTTTCTGAACAGCTGTGTTCCCAGGAGATCACATTTTTCCTGTTGCATTTTATCACTCGTTACGGTGTAATGCGCTACTCCAGATGTAGTGTGCATAGCGATTCCCGACCACCGATCATTTTCATTTGTTCCACAGATATCACAAATACTTCATCACTAAGATTGAATTATTGGTGTACATTTTATTCTCGAAACAAACATGTGACATCCTCGTAAAAGACACAAAAATACCTACGAAGTAGAAGAAAGGCCTATCTGCAGCTCAGTAGCCACCCCGTTTTTCTTCATTAAGGATACAAGTACATGGGTCAGGTGTGAAGTGGGTAGTTATTGAATGCATTGATCTTAGCGGGAATAAGCATAAAACCGCTTAGTTAAAGGGTAGAATCTACAGGTTAACAATTCATGGTTTATGAAGAAGTGTTCGTTGCCAAGGCCTGTCTTTAGGTGTGTGTTTGGGGGGTGGGGTGGGCATAACTCATCCAAGATTCAATGTGGAGGTCACCTAATTCGATGGTAACCTGGTCCATAAGTACTACGTGAATTGGTGATGCACCGATCGGTTGGGGTTCCTTCGTTTTGCGTTTCGAATCTCGATGGTTCTAAAGAAACGCCTATTGGTGGTAATTGTTGTGCTACCGAATGAAGCACAGTTGATGGTGATTTTTCAATGGTTTATTTCAGAATTGAATAGTCATTTTCTTTTTATAACAAATTCCGGTTTGTTTTTCTCTTCTCTCCACTCTTCATCGGTTTTGTGCAGGGCCAGATCATCTATCGCCGTTACTTTCAAGGTGTTCCAGCTCAAGTCAACTCGTTACTGTTGGCCGTAGGTCGACGTCTCGGTCTTCCCCAACCTCCAGCACCGGCTTGGTCTTCACGACCGGCTTTTTCCCATTCCGATTTCAGTCCGTCCAAATACTATCAGGTTCCTGCTCAATCCACCTATCAGACTGATTTGGATGATTTTCTTGGTCCGGTTGGACCGACCCAACCGTCACTGCGGTTTCAGGCCAATTTCACTGACCCCGGTGGTGCAGCTCATCTCGGGTTGGTCAGTGTGGACGGTGCCGATCGAATTATTCATCCTTTCTGGTCCTATCCGTCCACACCGTGGGACGTACCGATGCCCTCGGATGCTGCGCACAGTCCAAGTAATTCAACCTATTCGATATTCTACTTTCGCATTGTGAATATTTGGATGGACTGCACGTTCAAGTTGTCCAGTTACCTCCTCTGTATGATGCGAAGAAACTGCCACTGCGAGAGGATGAACAGAACAAGCTTTTGTTGTTCAAACACATATTACCAAATAGGCTTCCTCGACGTGCAATGCTTGCCGATACAGGTAATGGGTAGAAGAACAAGTGGGGCTTTCGATCACAAAATTTGTTACTGTCACTCATGCATCATTCACTCACTTTCTAACCCAATGTGTTCTAGCAGTACTAGTTGTTCTGTTTTCAGTGTTCACAATACACCTAAACAGGATATCTAATTGATCCAAACGAAAGGCTCTTCTAGGTGTATTGAATCATTGGGCTAAGATTTGTAGACAGCAAAGCACAAAACAGAACCCAGTTTTGCTATAGTTTGCAAAATGTTATCAAGGTCAAACGCTGCTAGGCTGTGAGTGCTCGAGGAAACAACACGTGCCATCGGTAGTCTTCCTCACTGAATATGCTCCCATTCCTGGCATAAGCACGTGCGTGGACGCGTGTAGACCCATTGACTCAGTTTTTAGTATTTGGGACCCTTGCCAACGTGCCTTATGTGGGTTGTTTCTCACCGTCAGTCGTTCGTGTAATTTTCAGAAAACCCTTTCTGATTGAAAAAAGTATATTCGGGCTGTTTGAACGTGTCTGTGTTAGTAAACGAATTGATACTACGACTAAGAAGCCATGGGTGAAGACAAAAACACCATGCATCAGGAGGTTCATCGATCTATTTTTACCCCCACTGATCTGTCAAACCATAACTGCATAATAGTACAAAAGTTATAAAAACTGAAAAAAAACTGAGTCGTTGTCAATCCTCTTGGAATGCAATATACACAGTTCTCTGCATCGAATTTTCATGATGCTTACGGGCACACTCTTTGACGTCAAAAGTTGTACTTCATTATAAATCTATGTCTGTACACGGAACGCTGCTCGCTCGAATAAATCAGCAGCATAGCCATCCTTTTTAAGTCACTGTTGATCACTTTACAAGGGTGCAGCACTCCCGGTATCGATTTGGAATCTCATTGTAGTATTGTTCACTTCCATTTTTGTATACCATGGCAATCGTATATGTGCAACTGCATTAAAACATGTTCAGCTGTTATTACTGGCAATCTGGATTCTGGGTACTTAATTTTCTGTTACCCAATTACCCAAGCGACACATTTCGGCCAAATATATGCTCTTCTGGCATCGGCAGTAAATTGAACCTGTGTACTTCCATTCTCTGGGGTGTTGATATACGTGTCCACAACGGCCGCGTGAAAAGCTCGGTTGAGGAAAACGACTTTCTTTTCCGTTAGGTGAACCTCGGTGAAGTTTGTTGTTTTTGGAATCGAAAACTTCTATTACTGTGTCGACATTGCATACGAACTTCGCGCCAGTAACCAACATTGCATCTGAAAGTCTTGTATGCTCGTAGTTGCCAAAATCTCAGTGTTCCGTATCTGTACTTCGCTGAATTAAGAGACGAAACAGGCGATAAAAATCATCGTCATTCTGTAGGCTCATGTCTCACCAGAATCGGTCTTACTTAGCTCTGCATAGCAAGAGTTTGAGATCCCCTGTTTAGCGATCGAGCCGTCGGTTGTGGAACGACCACACGCAACCGCAAACTGTCACAACTGTGTCGCACATTCAGTCATGCACGATAAGTGACGGTCGCGGTTTTCTCACGGTTTCTCCCTCCATTTTCCTTCTTACTTCCCAATAAACAGATGCACGAACCAATCACGGACTCCGTCCGATCAATCACACTATCAACTTAGCTGGTTTTGAGTTCAATATGAATTTGGGTGGAACGTTTCCGTACGAGCAGTTCACTAGTGAGTTAAATCATTTTCCGTAATATCTGCTTGCACCCCATGCAACTGAACGATAGCGTTCATCTTTTCAAGTGAGCTTATTCATGGTAGTTTCTATTTCTTTTTCGCTGTCCTTTATTACGCAGACAGTTTTCAGGTAACCAAAAGTGGCAATCAGGGGGATACAAAGGAGGGAAGTTATCCAACGGTGGTGGTGGTGCTGGTGATGCGATATTCTATTGAACTAAGCCACTCGTAGATCACCATCGCTATTCTGTGAAAGTCAAGGAAATCTGTATGACCAAAAAGAATATACATGTCTAATACGGAATTTTTCGTGTAGTTTTAAGTACACAGGATCACCAATCATATTTTACTTTGGATGTAAATTATATGTTGTCTCGTCCGTGCGAGTTCTCAGACAGCAGGATCTGTGTATTGTTGTCGTCCGGGAGTGAACCTCAGTCCTTGGGAACGCGTCAATTCCCCCAACTCGTCTGGTAATGAAACGTTTACAAACACATTGTTGCATAAGTGACAATGGAGTATGAAACACCTTTACAGATGCTTACAAGGGATTTTTCGGAAAAGTTGTTAGATCTGTTTAGTTTTTGCCCAAAGTTTATCAGAACTTCATTTGGACCGTCAATACTGACTTTATGGATTGAACGGTGTTCAAGATTGGTTCAAAGTACTTACCTTTATTCTCACGCACTTGTGGGTTGTGATTTTGTTCTTTTTCAACAAATCGATTTATGGGGCGAAGAGGACGGAGGAGGGGGGGGGGGCGGAGATAAACCAATCTTACTCGATCCCAGTCCAGCTTATGAAATAGCGGAAGCGGATCGCTACCCCGGAATACGATTACTGTATCATTTATGTGCACTGTTTTCCTCCCGGCGACATGTCACTCCAATCCGGTTTTCTTTTTCATCTCACACAGTTGTTATGCTAACTTACGACCGTTTCGAAATTGCCTGTCGCACCTTGGAAGGCTTGCTAAACCTGCCATACGTGCATTCTGTGGTGGTTGTGTGGAACCACCCGGTTCCTCCTCGATCCGATCTAGCCTGGCCGCAACTCCATGTTCCGATCAAAGTGAGTCTATTGGTCTACTGCACTATAATCTTTGGTTTCTTCTCTTTGTGCCCGTTTTTTCCGCTCTGACTCTCACTCCCTTTGCCCCCTCCCAGGTAGTTCACATGCATAACAACAGTCTCAACAATCGATTTTTGCCACACGATGTGATCGAAACGGACTGTATTTTGTCTGTGGATGATGATATCCAATTGCGTCATGATGAAATTGTGTTTGGATTTCGGTACGTGATTCTGTTTCTGACATACGCATCTCTTTCCATTGACTGGTCCTATTTCTGCCCACATGTTCGACATTTCCTCATCTTTCTCATGCCCCATGCACGCCTTTTGTTTCCAGGATTTGGCGTGAGAATCGTGATCGGCTCGTTGGATTTCCGGCTCGAGCGCATTTCTGGAATGCGACCACACGCGAATGGTACTACAATTCGGACTACACATGCGAGTTCTCGATGGTTCTGACCGGTGCCTCGTTTTTCCATAAGGTGAGCTGTTTTCTTGGTCTCCGTAAACTCGAACTTGGTGTAAAAAGTTTTGTTTGTCTATCTGAAGTAATTTTCTTTAGAGTGCACCCTGGTCACTATCCACGGGACCGCCCGAAGAAACGGAGATCCGAAAGGGACCCCGAGCCCTGAAACGCCACAAGCGGCTGGATCAGACAAACTGCCACCGACACTCTTCAAAGATGGCGCAGAAGCTCTCATGAGGGTTTTTGCCAGACTGTTTTCGAAGATTTAGGAAAACAAAACTGTACTCCGTACATCGGGAGAAACGGTTGTTAAACCTGTCTATAAGAAGGGCTGTCTCAACGCCTGTTCCAACCACAAGGGCATAAGTTTGATTTATATAGGACCGAAGCTGTTAGCATCCGTTTTATTGCTCAGGCTGAACCCATTTTACGAAAGAAAAATCCGCAAAGAGAAGCTCAGGTTCCGTGCATACTGTGGTTGCATGGATCAGATCTTCGCCCTCCGTCAGCTGCTAGAATACAGCAACACGTACAAACGAAAACCTGTTGTCATTTTTTGGTTATTAGAGCTGCCTTCGACTCCATCGATCGTCCTGCGCTGTAGTACTGTTTGCGAAGACACGGAGTACTCGAGAGGTATGTTCTGCTTTGAAAAATACTCTACCGTCAAACCTCGGGGAAAGTTAGGGTCCATGTTGAACTCCCACCCTCACTTCCTGTCACCATTGGGAGGTACGACAAAGTTTCCTTATCTCTCCGTTTCTCTTCATGTTTGCCATAAACGATGTTCTGTAAAAATTGCTACTTCACGCGAGGAAAGCTGGTGTGGGTCTTCTTAATCAAGATAGAGTTGTATTCTGAGGGTATGTCGATGATATTGCTTTACTTGGTTACAACGCGCCGACGATACAAGACTCGCTGAATCGTTTGGTAATTAAGATTACTCGTTATGGCGTGTCCTTTGCACCTTCGAAGTGTAAAGTGTTGTTGCAAAATTAGCAGGAACCCATTCCTGCACTTTCGTTGGATAACCACACTCAAGAAGTAAAAACTTTTGTCTACCTTGGGAGTTGCATAACGGCTGGCGGAGGTGTGGATGCGGAGATCTCTCAACGCATAATCAAAGCTAGATTAGCGTTTACTAATCTTCAGCGTCCTTGGCACCGATGCGACATATCCCTTTCAGTGCAACGGTACGCGTCGTGTTATTCTCCGACTGCGAAACTTGGCCTCGCCGAGTTGATCGTGTTCAACGACTATACGTCTTCGAGAACCGTTGTCTGCGTAACATCGCCCGTATATGATGGAAAGATCGCGTGAATAACGATGACATCAGAGGACGTGTTTTAGTGTCAGATAGTCTTCCACCGAGCTAAACCATTCCACTGCATCGACAGAGGTGGCTGGGGCACATCCCACGAATGACTGAACAGCGTCGGCCACACTACGCGCTATTAGCTTACATGGGTCCGGGCTGGAAGGAACAGTGAGGTGGGCAGGCTATGACGTAAAGTAGATGGTTGATAAGATTGTGCTTGGATTTGGCTTCCGCCGGGGTTTTCCGGTGATATGATCTTAGAATGGATGTTCACCTGGAACATATGTTTGTGTGGTCTTAATCATTTGGCATATTTCGTGATTTGAAAACTACGTAAACGCTCACAGTGGTAAGAGAATTAAATCAGTTCCTCAAGTTTGCCACCAGACTCTGTGAGGCTAACTGTTGTGTGAAATTTATCGAGGAATGTATTTCTCGTAAACAATATCCTAAAAACATATTTGAAACATTTACGAGAATATCGGATCTATCCCAATAGCAATATGCTTAGGCGTCATGCTCTTAACCATCAACCACTGCGCTAGAAAGAAATGTATCCAAACACCAACTTTAAAAGACGAACTTGAACTAGTGAGGAAAAGTTTACTTGAAAACGGATATTGTCAGAAGTTTATCGATCGTAATTGAACAGAATAATCTAACAATAGTACCAAAAGCGGAGAGGAAATGGCTTTTCATAAAACTTCCATTCAAAGAACACCAGGCTTTTATGGGCGGACCGGAAAACATTCCAATACCTTTGTGGATGTCAACAGCCTCAACGCCGCTTTCATCCACCCGTCAAATGAGAGCCAGATTCCCTCATTCCTCTGCAATGAATCCAGTTCAGTGCCTTTTCCAACGATTTAATCTTGAAGCTTCTTCGATCCTGCAAAGCATCCTCAGCTGCAGGCCCTGATGGTCTTCCTCCGGCACTTCTGAAATTCGGAGCAGCTTCCCTAGTCAACACGATGACATCCGTCTTCAATGAGTCCCTATTTTCCCGGTCGATTCCTGATTCTTGGCTTCCATTGGCCGTTATACCGATCCCCAAATCCACATCCTCAGCTGTTCTTGCGGAACGCTTTCGTTCTATCTCGCTCCAAAGTTAACTGAAAAGCCATCCTGAGTCGGTTGCAGTCAGACCCCCTTCATTTTGCATATAGACCAAACAGATCTACATTGGACGCCGTGTCCACTTTAGTGCATTTTATCAGCAAGTCATTGAACCATCCAGCCAAGTCTGTCCGTTGTGTTTTTCTTGAAGGTGCAAAGCAC